TTTCAGTTGTTTACATGAAAAGTAAAGCGGCTTTATGGTTTCGAGTCGATTGCCCATATTTGGTCGTTAAGTGATACGTCATCGTTATTTCTAGCCAATAAGGCTTAATGACTCAAAAACGTTGCCGTGATGACAACGAATCAACATCAAGGATACATAGGCTAATGACTCTCTGCGCCATGTATCAAAAGCGACTTCTAGCAGCCGGTGAAATTATTGCATGTAAAAAAAAAAATCCCCTCAAGTACCTGCAATAATTATGTGAACTGCTAGAGGCCCTCATTGACACGTGTGATGAATTGGCATTATGGCGCCTGTGGATGCGTGAAGGAGTAAACTTTGTAAAGAAGGGTGCACGTTCACCAGGGATGGAAAGATTCTTCTGGACACCTCAGGTATGAATTATTACACTTCTAGAAAGGCTCTGGTGAAAAAACTGGAGCAAAAAATTGAAGTTTCTGCGTTTGATTCATTTTTTTGTCTAATTTTTCGTTACTGAACATATTTTCCTTGATTTTGTTCTTAAAATCAGTTCTAAACGTCCAGAAAACACCTAGACGTGAAAAATACATCATATAGATGATATTGCAACAGCTAGTTTTGTAATTGCTTGCGCTATTTTTACTTTAACATCTAATGTTTACACCCATTTCTGTATAATATTCACCCCAGCATATCTACTCAGTCATGGTAATCAGGTCGTCTGAAGGATTACGTAACTGCCTCGCATGACGTAATGCGGCACCTGGACTTTTTGTGAGCCTCGTTATCAGACGAAATCCGTTGATTTGATTGGTCCGCCTTTTATTCGAATTATTGCTCAGCTAAAACCTGTCAAATGACCATTTTATTGAATAACTTTTGAAAATCATAGACTTCCCTCGCCACAAGCGTCCTTTTAGTCACAAATTGCGGAAGTTTCTGTTATTTTCGGCCATATTTTGTAACTTTTGGATCTTATCGTTGATACTATGATATGGGAAAAATAGGATTTTTAGTTTAACAATCGTCGATAAAGAGAAATTAACACTCAAAGATCGAAGTACACAAATGTAATATTCTACACACGAGTCATTTTTGACACATTGGAATTCCTATAGCCATTTGTCGCAATAGCTGTTATGTTTGTAAGCTATCACCTACTAGCTAGAAAATGTTCTTATCGCAATCAAAAGATAAATGGGTAAAAAAAGATCATTTATTGGAAAATTACTAAGATGTGTTTTCCTCCTCTTTTTACAAAGTTGAATGATGAGGACAGAAAAATTGAGAATTTCGAATTCGTAAGATGAAAGCCATAATTAAATCATCGTATTTTTCAGATCAGGCCTGCATGTGTGGTGATTTCCTATTGGCCTGTCATTAATCTTATATGTTAACTTGATCATCGAATGCAAATTTTGCTCGTGATTTACAGGTGCAGGTGACACGTGCGTGAAACACGCCTTTCCAAGATGGCGAGCGTGCATGGAACATGGAGAAGAACGAGCGGGTAAAAATTCCGCCCAGGAAGACGCGGCACGTCCACTTTGGTGGTAAGTTGTGCTTCAAATTGTCGTAGATACACTCCTGACTATTGTAGATAAATCACGTTTGAGTAAAATGAAGCAAAAAGACAGAATTTCGAAATTAAAGTTGATGCAACTATTCCCCACGAGTTAACTCTGCACGAAGTTCAGCAACCGCTAGGGGCGCTTTTGTGTGGTCCAGTGCACACATGTGACCGCTGACCTGAACAGCTTTGCTTGAAACGTGGTTTGTTGTTGTCCTATGTGCTTTGGTCAAATTCTATACATTTCCATGTAAAACAAAGTGTTCCTAGGCCAAGAACAGGCAGGAGGGACACGATAGTACCGTTTGTGTAGAGGATGACATGGACAAGGTTTAGATTTGGAAGGAGGGGAGACAGACGACCGGTAAGTTTGAGTGGGGAGGGGGGCGGTAACAGAGTTGTTTTCTGTATCAAAGACCATATCTATATATACCTTTTCAGGCTTTTCTACATATGCATCATTAACCAGTTGTTGAGCGGTAAATCCCAAACAGACTCTCGAACTTGATTTTGGTAAACCCGAGATTGGAATTTGTTGATGTATTTGTTGTGTAAACCAGAGACAAATTGATGACAGAGCCAACAATACTTGAATATGATATTGTTGCCTTGTTGCTGTTACTGAAGCTGAGCATTTGTCCAGATTCTGAATTGAAATTCATCAAGGAGCTCCAAACTAAGAGAAGTGTTTTCAGAGGTACTTTAGCTTAGTAGTTTTTTTTTCGGGAATACAATTGGCAACAAAGAACAACAAATGGTGATGGCATTGTGGTCCTGGGTTTGAATCCCAAGTCATTTCATGACTTTCAGATTAAATCTTCTTCACTTTAATTTACAAAAGTCATTAGAGTTAGAATAACTCTTCTTTCATCAACTGATTTGTTCATTGAAAACTTCAACTGCTTCTTAAGTGGAAAATTATGTTATTGTGTGCAATTATTTTTAAAAAGAAATCATGACAGTTTCATTGACTCATGTTTGCATGTTATGATGATGGTTTATTTGATACATATTTGACATGGCATATGTTTTTCTCCATATCTATTGCCAAAGTACTGTTTTATTTCTGTAACATGTTAACGTTACATATGAGCTTGATCTGTGTTTTTTCATGAACTGATATTTGGAGACTTGTAAGTATAGTTTATTTGTTCAGCAACACACCTAGGCTAATAAATTTTAATCCTATAATCCACTTGTCCAGTCACTAAAGCTTGCACTGCTTTTAATTACACAGTATGTCACACTTTTCACATCTTCAAACAATTAGTCCTACAAAAGAGGCTATAGTGGCCATTATAAGCTCCTTGGTTCCACACTGCACTTTGTCATTTGAAATACAGCACATCACAATTTTATGGATTCCTTTTGCAGCGCGTTGGACCTTGAAATGCAACATTCCGCTACAACTTAACTATGATCATAAGCTTGCATGTTGTGTTATATACATGTAAAGTCATGCTTTAGTAAAGCCAATTGCTGTTGTCAGTACAGTGACTTTTGTTTCTCTGTCTTCAAGATGCGGACCCGGAGACTGGACTGCAGCAGGAGGAAGAACCAGACTTTGTAGGCAGGGCTGCGTGAAAGAAGATGGGGAGGGGTGAGTATGGTTTCTTTGTGAAACACTCCACATGCACACACTTGCACTCACATTTCTCTTTTCTCTTGCACTCACATTTCTCTTCTTTCATTTAACGTTTATTGTAGCCGGCGACTTCAATCTCATGTTTATATTGTATGGTTGAATGCCAAATTGCCCCTAAATTGTTGCTTCAGACCTTAACACTTAAATTCTCCCTCCGAAAAACTTCGCATCTAAGCCAGCTGCATGAATTCCACGTTGTTTTCCTCATCATATCGTATGCATCCCAAATTGCCCCCAAAATTGTCGCTTTGGACCTGTACACTTAAATTCTCTCGCAGAAAAACTTTGAATCTTAGCCGGCCGCATGAATTCCTTAGTCATACTCTTCATATCGTATGCATCCCAAATTGTCGCTTTAGACCTTTACACTTAAATTCTCCTGCCAAAAACCTTTGAATCTTAGCTGGCCGCATTAATTCCTTTGTCATCCTCTTCATATCGTATGCATCCCAAATTACCCCCAAAATTGTTGCTTTAGACCTTTACACTTAAATTCTCCCACCGAAAATCTTCGTATTACAGCCGGCTGCATTGTTGTCGTCGCCCCCAAAATTGTCACTTTAGACCTTTCTTTACACTTAAATTCTCCCGCCAAAAACTTGTCTATCTTTGTATTAATTCCAGACTAATTCCTTGTTCAGTCCATTTTCTCCGCCAAAAAAATTAATTGGCACCCTCACCTGGTTAATTAATTGGATTAAGTTTTCCCGCCAGAAAACTTAGTATATAGACCACTCTAACCTTGAACTTGTGCCCTCTTCCTGCCCACCTCCCACAACTCAGAGTATGTTAGTTACACGTTCTCTGGACTTCTTCGAACATGTAGTCACCACACTCTTCTACACAAACACTTTGTTGACTGAGTGCAGTTTTTGCACCACTTAGACTTTAGAATAATCTCCTGGTCGGTCAATGCACTAAGTGTACTCCCCGGGGGATGTCTTTTCGGAGACATTGATGCTTCGACACATCAGTATACCAGTGCAATTGACCGACGAGCGAGAGATTATTCTAAAGTCTAAGTGGTGCAAAAACTGCACTCAGTCAACAAAGTGTTTGTGTAGAAGAGTGTGGTGACTACATGTTCGAAGAAGTCTAGAGAACAGTGTAACTAACATACTCTGAGTTGTGGAAGAAGTGTGGGAGGTGGGCAGGAAGAGTGGGGAGGGGGGCACAAGTTCAAGGTTAGAGTGCTCTATATACTAAGTTTTATGGCGGGAAAACTTAATCCAATTAATTAACCAGGTGAGGGTGCCAATTAATTTTTGGCGGGAGAATTTAAGTGTAAAGAAAAGTCTAAAGTGAAAATTTTGGGGCGACGACAACAATGCAGCCGGCTGTAATACGAAGATTTTCGGTGGGAGAATTTAAGTTTAATGGTCTAAGGGGGTAATTTTGGATGCATACGATATGAAGAGGATAACAACGTGGAATTCATGCAGCTGGCTTAGATGCAAAGTTTTTCGGAGGGAGAATTTACATAAATGTCTGAAGCAACAATTTAGGGGTGATTTGGCATTCAACCATACAATATGAAGAATTTTTCAGTGTTGCTTAACATGAAATTATGAAATTGAAGTCGCCGGCTACAATAAACGTTAAATGAAAAAAGAGAAATGTGAGTGCAAGTGTGTGCATGTGGAGTGTTGTCTCGTGGTAACAAAGAAACCATACTCACCCCTCCCCATCTTCTTCCACGCAGCCCTTCCTACAAAAGTCTGGTTCTTCCTCCTTCTGCAGTCCAGTCTCCGGGTCCGCATCTTGAAGACAGAGAAACAAAAGTCATTGTATTGACAACAGCAATTGGCCTAACTAATTCAAGATATTATGTCGCACAACATGCAAGTTTATGACAGTAAGAATGGAGCTAAATGCTGCCTGTAAAGGTCCAATGCACAGTGCAAAAAGTGTGATGTGCTGTGTCTCAAATGACTAAAAGTGCAATGTGGGACCAAGGAGGTTATACTGGAGACATTATACAATGTAACCTCTTTTGTCAGACTAATTGTTTGAAGATGTGAAAAAGAGTCTAGAAAAGTGTGACATACTATGCATTAAAAGCAGTGAAAGCTTTAGTGACCGGATCATTGGGTTATAGGATTGAAATTTATTAGCCTATTTGTGTTGCTGAACAAATAAACTATACTCACAAGTGCCCACTGTCTTCTCTCACTGCTTTGCTGTCTTCGTTTCTTTCTGCAGGTCAACTTGTTTGCTCAGCCTTCATCGCAGTTTTTTCCCAGTCAGTACAGGAACGTCAGGACACACCTAACTAATATAATGAATAATTAGTGTGATGTGTGATGCTCCCCCAAAAAATTTCCAGGCAACTAGGTGACTAAGTAAGAAAGATAATGATAAAATCCTGCACTTTAACTATCTCTTTGCTTAGATGATGCTTGCGGTTGATTGATTGCTTAGATATGTACAAAGTGTTAAACTGAGTAGCTTCTTATTGCCTCTCAGTTCTTAACACACAGAAAAAATATAAAGTTGGAAAACATTGTCTCACCTGTACAAACTCTTCACTTTGTCTTAAACTTCAAAGTCAGCTGTCTCATCTAGCCTGGTTTGGACAGGAACATCAGGACTGCCAACCCTATTATACCTAGTATACAATTATAAAAAAACAATTGATGCCAGGTACATGGTTATTGTATGTGAATGACTAACTAGCTACCAGGTAAAGATGAACTCTTGTATGCGACCTTTTACTAATTGCCTCTTCCTAGAAATGTTGAGAAGGGCTCAAGAAGTCTAATATACTAGCCATTTATTCAAGTCAAAGGCAATAAAAAATTAATGTGAAAGATGTTTTGCTACATGTGAGTTATTTTTATAAAGTGTAAGACATAAGAGAAGAGTGCTAGAGTCAAACAGATCTTCAAAAGCAATCATTATCTCACCTGTGGATGTTTTTGTTGTCATCTTGCTCTTGTATCTCTAAATCACCCCATCTGGTTCAATCTTCTCTTGTCAGGTCCAGACAGTAGTCTTCAATACAGCATCAGTCAGAAGCTACCTAACTATACAAACATTAGAAGTTACACACTTGTCTCAAATAATGAAGTAAATAGTACGTTAAATGCAAAATTCAGATTTTTCTCACCTGAGAGTCATCGTTGGTCTTCAAATCACCTGGTCTGGTCCAATCTTGTCTGAGGTTTACGAAGAATTCACCACTACTGCATCAGTCAGCAGCCACCTAACTATACGGACATTAGAAGTTACACACTTGTCTCAAATAACATCAAATAACTAGGTAAAATGCAGAATTGGGATTTTTCTTACCTGATATTCCTCTTGGGTCTTCAAATCATCTGGTCTGGTCCAGTCTGTCTTGTCAGGTACAGGCAGTAGTCGGCCCACTACTGGTACTGCATCAGTCAGCAGCCACCTACAGTACATGTAACTACAATGTGTATAGACATTAAAAGTTACACACTTGTCTCAAATAGTACCAAGTAAATGATAGTTAAAATGCAGAATTGGAATTTTTCTCACCTGATATTCCTCTTGGGTCATCTTGGTCCAATCTTCTCTTGTCAGGTTCAGACAGAAGTCTTCACTACTGCATCAGTCAGCAGCCACCTAACTATACAGACATTAGATGTTACACACTTGTCTCAAATAACACTAAGTAAATAGTAGACTGAATGCAAAACACAGATTTTTCTCACCTGAAAGTCATCTGGGGTCTTCAAATCATCTGGTCTGGACCAATCTTCTCTTGTCAGGTTCAGACAGGAGTCTTCACTACTGAATCAGTCAGCAGATACCTAGTAACTAGATAGACAATAGAAGTTACACACTTGTCTCAAACAGTACCAAGTAAATGGTAGGTAGAATGCAGAATTCATCATATTTCTCACCTGATAGTCACCTGGGGTCTTCGAATCATCTTGTCTGGACCAATCTTCTCTTGTCAGGTTCAGACAGGAGTCCTCACTACCGCATCAGTCAGCAGCCACCTAACGATACAGACAAAAATTACACACACTAGACGAAAACCGACGTATCCGGGTCGTATACTCCCGTACACACGCCCGGAAATTCCAAATATACGGACATTTCCAGGTGTGCGCGACCCGTACACTTGGCGTGTGCGGGCCTGCACACGGCCCGGATATGAACCACTCAGGTGTCCGGGCCATGTACAGGCCTGCACACGCCTGCACACGCCACCCGTAAATCTCTGCACACACCTGGATACGTGACACGTACCTCTGAGTGTGTGTATGAAATATGCATAAATTAGCGGTAATTTTCACCTAATTATCTTCCTCATTATCAGCTCGTGTACGGGTCGTACACACCCGCACACGTCCCCCCCTCCAATATGCCTTTTGTAATGTAAAGTAGCATCATGGCCGTTTATCCCCCCTTCTTGTTTGCATAATTTTGTTTTCTTTATTAATTGTACATGGTGCTTGGGCTTTGTGACTTTTTGTTTGTGTTTTGTGTGCCTCCAATATTTCCAGTGTACTTCGGCCGGTCTTTCAGCTCAGCTGAAACAAACTGTACGTCTCGTTCTTCTGTGTCTTGCCTTGACGCAGNATTTCTTGACGCACTAGACGAAAACCGACGTACTCCCGTACACACGCCCGGAAATTCCAAATATACGGACATTTCCAGGTGTGCGCGACCCGTACACTTGGCGTGTGCGGGCCCGCGCACGGCCCGGATATGAACCACTCAGGTGTCCGGGCCATGTACAGGCCTGCACACGTCTGCACACGCCACCCGTAAATCTCTGCACACACCTGGATACGTGACACGTACCTCTGAGTGTGTGTATGAAATATGCATAAATTAGCGGTAATTTTCACCTAATTATCTTCCTCATTATCAGCTCGTGTACGGGTCGTACACACCGGCACCACGTCCCCCCCCCTCCAATATGCCTTTTTTAATGTAAAGTAGCATCATAGCCGTTTATCCCCCCTTCTTGTTTGCATAATTTTGTTTTCTTTATTAATTGTACATGGTGCTTGGGCTTTGTGACTTTTTGTTTGTGTTTTGTGTGCCTCCAATATTTCCAGTGTACTTCGGCCGGTCTTTCAGCTCAGCTGAAACAAACTGTACGTCTCGTCCTTCTGTGTCTTGCCTTGACGCAGCTAGTCACGGGAGCAGATATTAGTCTCGTCTGGGCACCAGTCGTTAGAAGCCGTCCCAAGCTCTTTATTCCGCGCTGTGCAACAAGCCTCGCTGAGGCGGTGACCCACGGGCCGAACATCTTGTGCCACAGCACGGCCTTGAGTCGGGACACAGCGTATAGTCCGGAGGGGTGTACATCGGTCCTCTGGTCCGGTCTAATACTCTCTTGCACGCGGACTATCACTCGCCTATGCCCGCAGCCTGGTTCCCAGGATCCTGGCTACCGGTTTTCCAAAGAACGAGGCATACTCTGACGTTCACAATCTTCCCAATCAACCTCAGCTTGGAGAGTAGTCTTGTCCCAGTTCGTCTTGCCAGTGTCCCACGGCGTTCTTGTCTTGAAAACTGCTCCAATTTACGTAGAAAGGCGCAATACCGATATTCCTGTGTTGATGATGAGATATGACACAATCTCTTACCATGGACCCTTTTCTACCTCCATGCTCTCACTAAGTTCCTAGCGTGTTGCTTGTGTCCAGTTGTACAATGCACGCTCCACAACCAGGCATGTAACGGAAAGATTTCAAAAATAATGACCCGAGCGTTGATTGGCCCTCTTTTCAAACCCCAACAAAGAGAAATGCATGCAATTGGCTGGTCTGGTTTACAGGTCACCGCAGGAATAATGATATACAAAGAGTTGTGAAATGTCCTGCTTGTCTATTATGTAAAAGTTGCATGCACACTAATAAAAAACATAGGCTATAAAATAGTCTGGAATGTTATCATCAACACATAATTTGCAGTTTACCCGTGTAATGTTTTCAACTTCGTGTTCTTAAAGTATAAAGATTAAATATAACCAAGGAAGTTAAACCTCTCTTATATAAAAACAAACAAACAAACAAGGTAAATAAGACATAGGCGCCGTCTCGTCTCTGACCATGACACCACAATACACATCTTACAACAATGTACAAGTAAACTATGCATCTTTTGCCTCTTCCAAAAAATTATTTTTACACTAAAGTGGGCTGATATTTGAAAAAACACCAGAGCGGTCCCTCTCATTACCAAAGAAAACGACCATGTTTCCAAAGGTGAAATATGTCAAGGTCGAAGGTTCCCAATAGACTAGTTTGGTAAAATTCTGATCAGTAATTGTGTTGTTGTTTTTGCCCACTGTAGATTCAATATGGTGCCGGTATAATGAGGCGTTAATATATGCGGGGAGACGATGGACCACACAAAGAAATCTACTCATTGTTCATAGCAAGGGTTATAGTTACAAATATATACAGGGATACACTTAGACCCCATTCATACCAAGGACGTTATATCATAACCTAGTTGAAGCTCCGTGTTCATATAAAATCCTTGTTCATACCAAGCTTTATATATCCTTCTAGATTCTTTAGCAGAGTTTATATACGCCTGGCGTGGCCCAAAAGTCAACCAGACTCTGGCGAGGGCGAGTTTATAGCAGACATCGGCCCCCAAACAACATTTATTCTATTCACCAACTTTTAATGTAACGCTGATTTCCTCTACCATCCAATCTAGATGTCTTGTCTTTGTGTTGCGTTGCCTGTTACATACAACGTTTTTAGGTAGTAATTCGGTTCATGGAACGAACTCATGTTTAGGTAGATTTCGGGAGTGAAAATAATATTGTTTTCTAACCAGCATTTTGCCCGTTCTTCTTACCGGCTTTGAAAACACATTGTGCCCCTCTCAATTTACGCATTTGCGAAACGATCTACATGTATGGTGACCCCTTATTGTTTGGCAGTACTTGCGACGTGTGACGTGTGCAGGCCCGTATATTCCCGTACACACGACTAATTACCAGGTGTCCGGGCGTGTCCGGAGGAATCACAGACCCGCACACGCCGTGGCCGACATTTCCTGCACACACCCGGACACACCCGGGCACGCCAAGTTTCACGGGACGTGTACAGGTCCGGAAACGTCCGGATATTCCGATTTTTGAGCAGTGACACTTGTGTCAAATCACCTGGTCTGGTCCAATCTTCCTTGTCAGGTTTATGAAGAATTCACCACTACTGCATCAGTCAGCAGCCACCTACATGTAGCTATATACAGACAGTAGAAGTTACACACTTGTCTCAAATAAGACCAAATAGTCATAAGTAAAATGCAGAATTGGGATTTTTCTCACCTGATATTCCTCTTCGGTACCAGTCTTCAAATCTTCTGGTCCAATCTGTCTTGTTAGCTTCAGACAGTGGTCTTCACTCCTCTATAAGTCAGCAGCCACCTAACTATACAGAAGTTATAAGTTACACACTTGTCTCAAATAAGACCAAATTGTAGGTAAAATGCCACATTGTGATTTTTCTCACCTGATATTCCTCTTCAGTCTTCAAATCATCTGGTCTGGTCCACTGTCTTGTCAGGTTCAGACAGAAGTCTTCAATAACTGCATTAGCCTTCATCTAACCATACATACATTATCAGTTGCACACTTGTC